TGCTTCTATGTCACTGAACCTATTTTGAGATGTGTATAAGAGACAGCCTTCCTTCCTTCCTTCCTTCCTTCCTTCCTTCCTTCCTTCCTTCCTTCCTTCCTTCCTTCCTGAAGGCCATGCAATGCAGCCAATACAGTTTCCCAAATTTTGGGAAAGTAGGTGGGGTCACGTGACTGAGTTTTTGCCAGTGGTGTATGAATAAAAGTGATGTGTCTAGATTCTGGGCCATACCTCTGAAACTCCCTTCACCTGCCTAGTAACTGCATAAAAGAACTCAGTCTCTAGAGGATGGGAAGAGCCTGGTTTCTCAAATTATTGCCTGAAGAAGAGTCACCCTCCAACCCTGCATTGGACTGTGACACCACAAGAAATAAACTTTTATTGTTAAACCACAAAAACTGGGGTTTATTTATTATAGCAGAGAGCCAACTTTGACTGATGTGGATAATCACTAACACTTCAGCATATTCTTTTCAGTTTTTTTTCTATGTATACAGGATATTCCATATCATTTTGGTCATATCAAAGGTATGCTTTTGTATTCTGATTTTTGTTTAATGTTATAAGAATTTTCTGTTTTATTATAACTTCTTTGCAAATGTAATTTTTAATAACTACAGATTATCCTATTTATGTATATATTATAATTTATATAATTAAAACCTATTTTTTGATAATCAAATTCTATCTAGGTTTTCACTATAATTATATAAAGAACATGCTTATGCATAAATCTCTGTCCAGGTATCTTTTTATTTTCTTTAAATAGATTTTTAGAAATAGAATCACTGGCTAAAATAGCTTAAATGTCTTAAGTATTGTTTTAAATATATATTAATAAACTGTTTTCTCCAAAAGTTGCTTTCCCTCATAAGTGTTATGGGAATACTTATCCTATATTCACTGGTAACAAGAATTATTTAATTAAAAATTTTTACCTAAAATTTCTGTTTTTAACATGGAAATAGCATGCCTTGACAACTGGGTCACAGACCATAGATAATTTAATTTTTGAGCAAGGAAGCTAGAGACTATATTTGCAAATTTCAGCCTGTGAAGAGCAGAACCTTCCAGAATAGAAGATCACTTTAACAGCACAAAGCTGTTCAAAATCTTTTAGAATGAGGCCAACAGACTGGGAGATAATATTTGAATAGGGTGCTGAAGAATAAATTGGGAGCCTGCCACTCAAATAGAAGGGCAAAGGACACTACAGATGGAGAGCTATATATGCAAATGCATGGAGGCATGAATCAGAGGCCAAGTGTTGAAATAAGCCCATCTGTGTTTTCAGAACATGAGATGGTGGCGTAGAAGCCAAGACTGAAAAGAAGCTGTAGCTTGTGGGGGGCTATGCTGCCAGGCTAAGGAGGCTGCAGTTTATCCTGTAACTAACAGAAAAGAGGCATGTTCACAACTGAGTTGATATTTAAGGGATCAAAACTGACTTTGTATCATGCACAAGCCATTTTCTAGACATTATTATTTCTGATTCTGCAAACAACTCCACAAGGTCAGTTCTACTATTCACATTTACAAGATGTATCAGAATTGAGGTCAGCGCTAAGTCACTTACATGGAAGGGCTGGGACTGAAACCTAGGTCTTGCTGGCTTCTACACCATGACCTTTTCCCTATCCTGTTGTCTTCTATGCTATGAAAAAGTGGGGGATAAATTAGAAAGGAAACACAGAGGCCATGAGGCACATTAGGAGGCTACTACATTGTTTGGGGAAGAGAAAATGAGATTTTTAATTAGCTGCCTCTAGGGTAAAGTATGGTTCAAAGTGACCAAGACCAGAGGGAAGAGATTTTCAAGAAAAGAAGAGTGGATTTAATGTAGCACAGCACTGATGGCCTTCTCAAGACACTTCCAGTAGAGAGGTATAAGGATCAGAGTTGAGACATGGCAGCCAGGTTGCAGGGGCTTGCCGAATAAATGAGAGATAATCTTATAGAAATGGCTTAAAAGTATGGTTGGGACCCTTCTATAATATTTTCTCCAAAACCTTTTACCTCACTGCTATGAACACTCTTCATAGTTCTTCAAGATTATAATCAAATAACTGATATTATCAGAAGCTATGTTGTGGTTACGACACATTTTAATTTGTCATCAAAATATACTTGAGGGGAGAAACTGTCTTATAACATTAGGAATCAATTTCCAAGATACTGAAAACCATAGGAAGTCTTAGCTTCAACAAGATGGTAACAGGTTTCTCAGAAAAATTGCACCAAAAAGTATGCCTGTGTCATTCTATCTAGTTCCAGACTCTGTAGTAATTTACTCCAAATTAGAAATAAACCTTTAACCAATATCACCCCAATACACTTAATTTTAAAAAGAAATAAACCTTTTGTTTTAAAGGAAAACATAGAGGAGATATTTGGGGTTCTAGTCAACTAAAGTACCATTGAATAAATTGTGTATACTATGGACTAATCCAATTATATAGTTACTAATGCTTTCTGTTAAACTCTGTAAATGCTATAAAAGGACACTGAAGAAAGACCCTAAGAAGTTCCTATATGTGGTGTTTGTACTTAATAAATTTCTCACTGTTCTTACTGAGGTTAAGATTTTTGCAAAAAT